TACACATCATCAAAAAGATCAGTTGACTGGTGGTGATGGTACCTGATCATCAGCTCCTCCTCTGTTAGTTACATCCTCATACGTGCATTTTCTATGCAGCGCCTTTCATTGCACTCATTCTACAAGATGTTACTTCCATTCATGGCTAAACAGCAGTTGACAGATAGACAGTAAGGAACAGGGTGCTGCTGCCTGATTGCTGCTGAAGGACAACCATGTGGACTTGTAGCACAAGAGAGATATTGCAGGCCACAGACCAGGAGACCGGATGTGTTGGGATTATATTGAAAGATTAAAAATCCCTTCTTAAATAGATAATCATCCAAGACAGCTCCTCAAACTGAGGCTTGGTCTACACTACAGAATTAGGTCAACATAAGGCAGCTTACGTCAACATAATCATGTCAGTGTCTACACTAGAATGCTGCTTCCGCAGAAGTGGCCCGCTATACCAACATGACTCCATCTCCACGAGAGGCACAGCACTTACATCAGTGTAGTCACGGCAATGCAGTGTCTGTCCATTACTTACTTCAGCTTTTGGCCATCATTCTTGTCAATTTCACAACTGTGTCTGGCTCAGACCAGCAGCAAGGCTTGCAGCTGGAGATGTGAAACTGACAAGAATGTCAATTTCATGCTGGTAGGCTCCCTGCTGTGAAACTGATCCTGGTGCTGGGCTCCTAGCTGGAGCCCCAACCCCAAGGTGAAGGCCGGAGCTATGAGCCTGGCATGGGGCTCCATTTTACAGCACAGAGCCTACAGCAGTGAAACTGATATTTTTGTCAATTTCAGGGCTCCAGCTGTGTGCCTGGGCTGTTGCTCTGAGATGCAGGCAGCTGTGAAATTGACAATTTCAATTTCACCGCTGGTAGGCTCCCTGAGCCCATGCCAGGCTCCTGCTGTGAGCCCTGTGTGGCTGTCAGTGCCCCTCCTTCAGCCAGTGCAAGCACACCACCGACAGAAGGAGGGTAGTGTGGACAGCAATAGCCAATTGAAGTACTGTGGTGGCTGTCGGTTGACCTAAATTTAGTCAACCTAATTTTGTAGTGTAGACCAGCCCTAACTATGGCAAGTCAGGATGGGAGATTGACTGCTTTGAGAGAACCAAATCTATGCCTAAAAGTAGAAGTGCCACTGACCTTCTGGAGAAGTGGCTCAATGGACAAAGAGAGAGAATCCAGTTGAAACTCTACAGTTTTTGCATCTACCAGAAGAAGTAGTGGATCCAACTGTACTAAGGGCCCTGTAGTTGCAGGATATAACTTCCTTTCCTTAAATTGCAGCAAGTAGGACTGTCGTTTTTTTTCTGTTATGGCAGAGGATCCTTCTAAAAATCCTCAATTGGCCACTGCACACAGCAGAAAGCAAAAATGACTACTGTTAATGGAGAGTTTCTAGGTTATACAGCTGCATGAGTGACAGCAATCTTGTCTCCAGTTGCTAATGGGTGGAGACAAATCCTATACAAAAGCACTGGATAGAAAAAGAGTTGCATAAAAAGTTAATCTCATTACTGCAAACTATGATTCCTTCAAATGACAAAACTTCTCAATTTTAAACAAAACTTTCTTGGTCCTGTCTTGAAAGCAAAGAACCCAAGCAAATGTAAGTGCACTGTAGGAAGAGTGCATTGTGTGTGAATTTAAGGGGAAGAGGAGTAGTAGTGAAGTAATGTACCTCAAACTGCACAGTGGAACATGTGTTTAGTACACCATTCCCACAACTGTAAATGGTTCTAAGAGTATTTTGGGAGGAGAGACATGAGATGGTTCAGTACTACAAAGAAAAGACTGGTACTGTTTTCAATAGCTCTTACAGTGTTAGATAATAAAAAGGAAATTTTAGTAGAAGGTATTTTTTTAAAATATTTTTGAAGTTTTTCACCTCTGCACATATTCAAGATATAATGTATTAATTAATGTATTAATAAATAGTTACAGAACATTTACAATTATTTGTAGAACTACTTGGATAATTCATTTCTTTATTTTATATCACATTTTTTGTACAATAATCCTAATTAAACAATATAGTTTCGAAGTTGAAATTAAAATCTAGAAGATGAAAAAAATAACGGTATAGGCAAGGGAGAAAAGATGTGTGCTCAGATGAGATATGAAAATAGTTGGAGAGTCAATTAGCCAGAAAGACATAGGCAGGCTGTTTCACATAGCAGAGCACAGAGAAGGTTCTTGTACCAACTTTAGAAACACTGCACTGAAGGATAGAGAGAAGTCCCATGTGGATAAGCAGAGTAACGGATGTAAAGATGTGGTGTATAAGAGGCTGGCAGAAACAAAGCCACAATTTTAAAAAATGAGGTGGGAAATTTGAATTGGCTCCTGAAATTTATGGGGGAAGCAGCTGTCTCGGGCTGGCCATGATGTATAGTTTTGTGCTTCTTGTACACATAATACTCCTGGGGGAATTTCCATAAAAAGATTAAAAACTCTATGCACAATATTTTACAATTCTGCAAAGTTCTGCATATTTTATTTGTCAAAATACTACTATACAATCACACCAGTTTCAATTATATTGATAATTTATTTCAAAATACCTATCAGCAACTATATATGGCCAGTCTAAACTACCAGCTAAATCGGCACCACTGCGATTGATGCAGCAGTGTCGATAAAGTGGATCTGGTGAAGAAACTCTAAGTTGATAGGAGAGCACTTTCCTGTCCATGTCTGCAGTCCACCTCCCCAAGAGATGGAAGCTATGTCGATGGGAGAGTGTCTCCAGTCAACATAGCACGGGGTAGACACCGCTATAAGTTGACCCAAGTTATATCAACTTCAGTTACGTAACTTTTGTAACTGAACTAGCGTGACTTAGATCGACCTACTAACCAGTACACACCAGCCTGATGTCTGGAACAATACAGACAAAAAATTCCTCCAGGAATAGATTTAAAGAAACCCCTAAGACAACTCAGTTCCTGTTTCTCTCTCCCCTCCCCCCAGAGCCCAGCAGGAGGGCCAGATATCTCCACCTCTCCTCCCAGAGCCCAGCTGTGGGGCGACTTGCATGTATCCCCTCCCCACCAGAGCCCAGCTACAGGTCCCCCATCCCAGATCCCCGCACGCCCTACCTCACAGAACCCAGCTGCAGTACCCCACAGCCCAGACACTCTCACTCCCTCCCGCACAGAGCCCAGGGATCCAGAGGGAGAAACAACCTGTTTCCCGGGCTTATATGGAATTTCATGCACACTGCCTCCTTCCTTTAGGACGTGCGGGGAACTTCAGCTGCCCAGTAGCCTCCAACTCCCTTCCCCTCCCCATCCCCCGGCAGCATCATCTACTTGCAAGCTGGGCTCTGCCAGGTCCAGTGCTGCCTAGTGGTGGCCAGTAGGTTCTGTAGCCCATGGGGGGGGGGGGGAGGAGAGAGGAAATTCAGCACAAAAAACATTAATTTCTGTGAAAATTCTGCACTGCACAATGTGCAGAATTCCCTCACAAGCAACATGAGGTGGGAAGCAGCCTACACCTGCTTGAGTTTGGAGAGTTAGAACTTAGCAATAATTAAGATTAACAGAAGATGATGACATAATGAGGATTTCAGCCATGAATGAGGATTTCAGCCAATGTGGCATAAACTGGAATAGATAGATTTACAGATGTAAGAGATGCAGAAGGAAAAGGAAACATCAAGGCCAAGGATGGCACGTAGAAAAGAAGCAAATGGGAGAGCTGAGTCAGACAGGGAAAGAAAAGAGATGGATTATGTTTACTGATGCACCTCTTTGTCTGAGAGATATTTAGTTGAAAAATTTAATTTATGGTTTCCTCTGATTCCTTCAAGACAGGCTGTCAGTGGACAGGGAGGAGTCATTAAAGCTGTCTAAAGATACAATTTGGAATCAATATATAAGTCGGCAATCTTCGGAACACGGCCCATCAGGGTAATCTGCTGGGAGGCCACGAGACATTTTGTTTACGTTGACTGTCCGCAGGCACGGCCTCCCACAGCTCCCAGTAGCAACGGTTTGCCATTCCTGGCCAATGGGAGCTGCGGGAAGCAGCGCGGCTCAGCAGATTACCCTGATGGGCCGTGTGCGGAAGGTTGCCAACCCCCGATATAAGTGGGAGCTAAAACGGAGGTTGGACATAAAATGACAAAAGGGGGGAAACAGTGCGAGGGATCGAGAGCTGAGCCTTGTGAGACTCCACAGCGGAAGGGTCTTAGCACAGAACAGTTAAAGAGAAACAGAAATAGTGGCTTGATAGGTAGGAATGTAACCCTGATATGAAGAAACCAGAGATTCCTTCAGAAGCAAAGACAAAGTCTGGAAGGGGAAGAGTTCCACCATATCAAAGATTGTACTGAGGTCAAGGAGAACGAGGAGAGACAGCAAGTCCTCATCAGTAGAAATAAGATCATTAACTACACGAAAGTAAGAGATTTCCATGCTATAGCTAAAGCAAAACCAAAGCAATATTGAAAACAGTCAAGGATACTGTCAGCAAGATGACTCAGAAGATTAGAGACAGCGCAAGTTCATGAGGGTCAAAGGTGGATGTAGATTTTGGAAAGCTAGGGGAAGGTACCACAGGACAGCACTGTTGGCAACGGAGGTAGTGTAAGGAGCAGGGGGAGGAGAAGGGAACAAACAGGAAAAGATGACGGAGACTATTTTCTTAAAAGATGGGATTATGTCAGAAATGTGTAGAGTTGCAATAAAGAGGAAGGCAGAAGAGGATAATGAAATCATGGGCACAAAATTGGGAAGAAGATGGGGCTGGAGAAGATATTGTTATAAATTAGGGAAATATTAGATTAAAAGGATGATATGAAATTCTTTGCAACTGGTAAGGGAAAGGATTGGAGGAACGGGCAAACTAGGTGGGTGGAAAAGGGAATTTATAAAGTGGAATAGGAATAGGGAGTGAGGATTTACCAATACCTTGGAAAATGAGGGAGGAGAAGAAATTAGATTTGCAGCCCAGAGGGCATCCCTGTAGAAGACATATAAGTAAGAGTGTACTCACTTGAGAATCATAGTCATGGTTTCTTTTCTGTCTTTCCCTTGGAAAGGTAGAGTACCCGTGAGCATTTCAAACTGTACAGAGTAAAACTTGCATCAATTACATTAAAAGACTTGGACAAAACCTAATTTTTGATAAAACTACTTAACAGAATAATATTTTAAAAAAGTCATGCATATCAAAAATTAAGACTTTGCAAAGCAACTGCTTATGCTACAAGGTCTAATTATTGCAAAGACCTGGAAGCACTTACTGAACTTACGGTTGCAAAACAATTTCCACCATTACTCTGTGTTCACATACTTTCTGAAAAATTCACCTTTTTATCAGCTGTAATTCTCTATGCTTGTTTTTTCCCCTAAATACAACTTTCTTTGGGAGCTTGAGCAAAATAACTTTAGTTATCTGAGTTTTTCAAAAATACAGTTTTCCCAGGTAAAAAATATTGCCAGATGTCTAAATAATGGTGAAACAATATAAATAGTCTTTACTAGGAAAAAAAAAAGTAGTTGGATAATGAAGTTATTCACAATTAAAAAGTGGTTATTGCATATGGGGAATGTATGAGGACTTACAAATAGAAGACCGGCATTGTACATGCATACATATTTTACAATGCCTTTTAATGGGCAACCGCCACTTTTAAAATACTGTTCAATTCTGAAAGTGACTGTATAAAAGAGGTTTGCAATATTGTAGCCTTGTTGGTCCCAGGATATTAGAGAGACCAGGTAGATGGGTGAGGTAATGTCTTTTATTGGACCACTTTCTGTTGGTGAAAGAGACAAGCTTAGTGAACAATAATCCGACTACATATGCAAATGCAGTAGTCTCAGATACAAAATATGCAAGTACAATAGCACTCATGCAGTTCTTAAAACCCAGGCCTAAATAGCTAGCTTTTTATAAAAATTATTTCATAAAACATATGAGATGCTGCCAACTTAACATAGCAGTTGGAGCCTGGAATTTTGCATTTCCTGACTTTGGAAACAAATTGTTCAACTAACCATTTTATTCTATTTAATATAATGCTAATATAGAATAATTTCACTACTTCTCACTTTGCTGAACTACAAATCTGATAATCTTACCACACTTCCTGGCACGGTGTGCTGGAGAAAGGGCTAATCTTATCACAACTTTATTTTTTAAAAATTACTCTGTACATTCAGTTGTGTACTATGAAATACATAACAATTAAATGTAAACTACCTATATTTATCAAATTAAAATAAAGTAAATTGTATTGCACAGTATAATTATTTTCTGAGGTTTACTTATTTCTAATCTGCAAACTTTGCAAATACACAAGTCTCACATTTCATATGAGTTAGTGAGATTCTATTTATGAGATATTTCATAAAATGTGTAAGTTCCATCAACAAAAAACTAAACAAAGCTAAGTTATCCTCTTGTAATTGGTGTTCATAGATGTCATTTCCACAGATTTTCATCTCAGATCTCTCTGCCCTCCTCCCCAAAAGACTACACAGGACCCAGAATACGATTTTCAAAAATGTTCAGGATTGGCCTTATTCAGCTCTTACTGAAGTGAATCCTAAATACTTTGACTTCAGTGGGAGCAGACTTCAGCCAATGCTGAGCACTTTTGAAAATCCCACCCTAAAACGTTAAATTGATAACTACAGTGTCTAGCGCACACACACACACACTATCCTTTGTAGGTGTGTACACGCAAGTGCATGCGCGCACACACTTTTCCACCACGTGACTGCTTCTTGTAACTGACGCAAAGTGAAAATAAACAGGATGTGTGAATGGGAAAGCATACACTGGTGAAGGAAATTACATGATGTGAACAATTACAGTTATTGGTGACAGAGTAGCAGCCGTGTTAGTCTGTATTCGCAAAAAGAAAAGGAGTACTAGTGGCACCTTAGAGACTAACCAATTTATTTGAGCATTATTATTATTATTTGAGCAGAGTTATTGGTGAGATCATCTGTCTCCTCTACCGTTTTAAGTAGAATTCCAAGTATTGCACGCCTTGCCTACCATCTATATAAGGGACTGCAGGAACGAAGGAGCAATTTGTTTTATTAATCGGTTAGGAAGAACTGTTTTACCAAAAGAAGCTACTGAACAAACAGGTTTTAGCTACACTGGGTAGAGGCTGAAGTAATTATGAAGACATCTTGCACTGGGTTCCTCAAAATCAGCAAAAGAAGATTAACTGAACATCCATTTAGATAGCTCATGTTCCAAGATAAATTAACTTAAGGAGTCAGAGATACAGACTACAACAAATAAATATTTTATGGAAAGATACACTTTGACAAACTTCCATAGTATTTGAAACAGTTTTTTTAAGTGTTAGACTTCTCAATTCACCCTCCTGCAAATCAACAGCCCAAGTATTTTTAAGAAAAGTGCAGTTGGATTCTAAAAATGACATTCAGCCATGTTTAATGACTCTTCATGGTTTCCAATTTTAACATGTTCAGTTCAAACAAAGACTTTTTATTATTATTATTTTAGTTACCAGCTCTGCAAACTCAATCTGGGATTTAAACCAAATTATGTTCTTTCTAGCTTGTTTTCCATCCATATTAAATTACACTCTGATTGCAGAATCTTAGTTTTTTTCTGATGATGCCCAAGCCAGAAAAGAATACAGAGCACCCTCACTCAGTATTGGCTGCACAGTGCTGGAAGAAGTAGTGAAAATGTATTCTTGTTAGTCAAGTATGCAGATATGACTGACAAAACACAAATGTAAGATCTCTTCAGTGATCAGATGCCTTTTTTACACAGTCATTTTCCATATCACAACAGCATTTTACATATTCAAAAGGTGATAGGGTATGTTTTCAGATCTAATAATAAAGAGTCTCCTTATCAGATCATAAGGCACACACAGAGACTGTGCTGTCATAATTATACAGGTATTGCAGAAGCATCAAAAGATAAAAAATCTTTCATTTTTAAAAACATCATTTGATCTTAATGTTAAAAAAATCATACAATGATTTTTAAAGTATAAAATTCTATTTGGCATTCCTAAACTTTCAAACATAATCCTTTTTTCCTTTTCAAAAATACCTGCATTTGTTATAAATGTTAAAAAAAAATTCTGTCTGGTAAAATTTTGTCAATTTAATGGAACTTATTTTTTGATGAAATATCATATGCATGGCCCTTCTAAGCAACAGCTGAAAGTCTGTAATCAGCTCAGTGCAACTCTAAATTCTATCTCTGTGCAAATAAAGCAGCTTTCATTATTCCGTTAGTTTGAAACTGAGATCGCTAAGGTGATCAGAAAATTTTACTTCTAAAAACTACTTTTTCTGTGATTGAATTCAATTTTAAAGTTTCAAAATTTGAATCTATATGGAAAATATTTTTCACTTTTGAAAAGCAAGCTTTTCTGAACACTTTCATTTTTCTATCAGTCTCAGTTAAGAACAGTCATAGGCACACAATATTCCATTGAAGCAAAAGAAAAAAGGTGGAATGATATCAGTGATGTGATGAGATCTGAACCACGCTGTTGAGCCAAACTGAACAGTAGTACTAATTACCAATAAATTCATGTGACTGGGTTAAGCCAGTCATAACCCACCTTTTGCTATGATTTCTATTCACCAGAAACCTACCATTAAAACACCAAAAGACCACCAGTCTGCACTCTGTGTGTGGCCTCGTCGATTAACTACCTCTGGTGCCATATATTCTACTGTCCCACAGAAGGAATACGCTTTCTTTTCATGATCGATCGACTCTTTGCTTAAGCCAAAATCTGAAAAAAATATAATCTGAAATGAAATTTTCCTACTGGCTAAGAATTTCTAAGCATACAAATATAACTAACACAAAAGCTATGAAAAAAGTCACATTAGTGGTCATATCATTACTTTTTATTTTTTAAATCAGATTTCTTATTTAAATAACAACACTTCATTTAATCCATGTTAAATATCACCATCTGTTCTGCAAAATTACTTGCAATAAAAAAGAAAATCAGATTTTACTATATTCCTTTAAAAAACAGACAACTTATGAATTAAAAACTTTTCATAAACTGAAATTTATTTTTACTTACCTGTCAATTTGATATGTCCTTCTTCGTCAAGAAGTATACTAAAAAAAAAAAAGGGCAGTTGAAAGTATCTTTTAACCTTGTTTTAGAAACTGTACTGACAATCAAAAGAACTTTAAATAAGAATAGAACTTTAAAGAGTAACATCAACAAACAGAGACATGTAACAGTGAAAATCTAAGGAAAGAAGAATAATTTTGGAATTCACAGTTATAGAAAAGGGATATATTTAATGAAATTACAAAAACATGCATTCAGTGTGTTGTTTTCTAAGGCCCCGTTCCTACAAGCTGCTCTTCTCAGAGAGACTCTTGGGTCTGTGCTGGGCAGTTTGCAGGATCAGAACCTAATGAAAGCCAAAAAATTCAGAAGTTGCATCTCAATCCTAGTTATATACTTTAACATGAAAAATATCTATAAAGACAAAGTCACAATAATAAAAAGCTAAAGATTTCAGTGGACAACATTTTTCTCCTTTGATTTTTTCTTAGTAAAGAACGTGAATGAACACAGAATCTGTCTCAAGAATTCCATATAATTGAAAGGTATTTGCTAGTAGTCCACATGGCAGCAACAGCTCTTTAATCCTGAATTTTCTATCCACGATACTCAAAGTGAGCAGGGAAACTTACACACAATATTGAATATTTTAAGGACCAACACTGTTTCTTTGAAGCATTTTTTTTATATAACAAATAGCTCCTATATAGTGCTTTTCATGTGTATTATCTATCTTTGGAGTTTCAATGGAAGTGCTAACAACTTTAAATGGATGCTGTCAAGTTCCTTTTAAACCTATACTTAAAGCTGTGCTGTGTTGCCATTTATTTTTATGCTTCCTTTGGACTTGATCTTGTAACAAACATTCTGAGTGCCTCCCTTCAGATTCTAAGCATCATCAACTCCCACTGAAAGAACAGGAGTTTAGAGTGCTCAACATGCTATAGGATCAGGCTCTCTATGAGAATTAAGAGACCGTATACATTTAAAAGAACAACTCATATAGTGGGAATGAGGACCTCAACCAAAACTTCTAAATAATTTTGACCTTTGCTAGTTAACTCTGAGACAGACACGCCCAAGGCTTAAACCCAAGAACAGGAAATCTACGAAGGATATATTATTTAGTCAATGTACAACTTCTAGAAAGTACGGTGTGCCTGATTTCATTTTTTCTATTTTAGCTAGAATTATTAAAACATTTATTCAAAAAGGAAACTGTTACAAGATTGAATGGAGTAATTTTTAAAAACAGTTTTATTATTGCTTTTATTATTTAAAAGCTCTAAAGCTCCCCTTCCTTGATTTTTTATCCTCTTACTTTTGGCAAACAAGTTTTCCCCACTTCTGTATTTTAAAAGGATCATAAACTAACTTCATTCACTTTCTTGTTTGCACAGTAGTATTGATGAGGCCAGCAAAGATTTGAAAATAGTGTTTATTTATTAACTTGTGCTGCTTCTAGTGGTAGAATACCTGGCTATGCTCCAACTATGTAGGAAGCATCATAGATCCTATAGAAAAGGTAGTTTTGAAAAGTGATTTACTTCTCAGACTGGGTGTGGTATTTTTTAAGTATATGGAAGACATTCCTCACCAGCTTAGAAAAATGTTCTTACCAGTAAATGGTATTTCTTTGATGAAACCAGCTCAGTTTACAATTTAACGAGTTTTCATCCACCTCACGGTTGTACAGACGTAAGCAACCAATAGAAAGTGCAGAATTTTAGAACATAATTCATGTGTCCCCAAGTTCCTCCTGAGCACGCTACTAGCCATTGCCATAGCACTCATTGGAGTAGTTACAAATAGGACAGAAGACAACTTATGCTTTCACCAAGGCACGTATCAGGTTAAAGAAGAGCTCCATTAGAATCAACAGGGAACATTTATGTAAAACCAAAAAAAGACAAAATGAGGCAACATTCTGCAAACAACACTGTCCTAAGCACAATACCTTTCAGAAAAGGGGAAGGTACTAGTTACAGAATGAACACAGAAACAGTTCCACTGTAAGTTTGGTCATTGTGGACTGAGCTGGTTTCATAAGAATACAACCATTTCTGGGTAAGAAAAAGTATCTATTCTTTGAGTAAACCAGCTTAGTCTATAGCAATCCCATTTCCACAACACGGAGGAATTACTTTTCAAGAACAAAGTCAAAGACAATGCTACCAAAAGGAGCACTAGGAGTAGATAGGTATCTAATTCTATCATGCACAGTAAGGGCATGCATGTGAAACCAAACTGCCAGTTTGCACTCCTCTTCCAAAGCAACACTCTCTCTTCATTAAGAAGCATAGGAATTACCGTACTGGATCAGACCCGTGGGCCATCTAAGCCAGTATACTGTCTCTGACAGTAGCCAGCACCAGATGCCTCACATGAAGTTGCAAGAAGCCCTGCAGCAGACATACATGAGATAAACTGGTGCTTATCAAAGTCTCATCTGAACCCCTAATAGTTAGAGATTGGCTTATGCTAGGAAGCATGAAATTTTAAATTACTTTAATTTTTTTCATTAACTGTAACTGGATATTCTTGTTATCCATATAAATATCCAATTCCTCTGAATCTTGCATCAACAACATCTTGAAGCAGTAAGTTCTACAGTCTAATTACGTGTGTGAAAAAGTATCAGTTTTGTTGCCCTTCTATTTTATTGTCCTGTCTTATGTAATAAGGGAGAACAGACACTCCCCACATACCTTTGCTATACCACTAATTATTTTGTATACTTTTGTCCTGACCCTTATTACATGTCTCTTCTCTCAGGTAAACAATCCCACTCTTTTCATGAAAGGTTTTTCCATTTCCCTAACTCATTCTTGTTGCCTTTCTCTGAACCCCCTAATTCTGTAATAGACTTTTTGAGATGGGGTGACCAGTACTAAACACAGTAATCCAGATGAGAATGATCACTGATTTATATATTAGCATTGTAATATTTTCTGTATTTCTCTCCATCCCATTCCCTATGCATCCTAATGTGATTTGCTTTTTTAAATGCAGTTGCTCATTGAGCATAGGTTTTCACTGAGCTGTCCATAAAGATGACCAGATACTTTTTCTTCAATTAATACTGTCAATTTAGAACCCAGTAAGGCATATAAGTAGTGCTAAGCTTTCCATGCTATGTGCATTACTTTGCATTTATTGACACTGAATTCAATTTGCCATCATGTTGACCATTCACATAGCTTGGCTAGGTCCCCCTGAAGTTCTGCACTGTCTTCTTTGGATTTCTCTCAATAACTGTGTGTCATATGCAAATTTTGCCCTCTCATTGCCTGAGTGTGTCTAAGGGACTGCATCCCATAAGGAATTCACTCTTCTTGAATGTGTCCTCAGGTGGGCTCTTGATTCTGATCCATCTAGACTAATCATTTTTATGAGTATTGTGACCCTTCTTAGAACCTACACAAAAAACAAAAGCATTCACTGACCCTCAAATCCTGGGTCCTACTGATATGGAAATTCAAGGCCCTCCTGACATCCAGGGAATGAAGACAATTCTTCATAACAATGGCAGAAAAAGGGGGGGAACCACCACTTGATTTTGATGGAAAGTGGTAGGACACCTATAAACAAAAAAGGGCAAAGAGTGAAGAGCCACCGTGTCTTTAGGAAACATAATTTATAGAATTTGATATGCTGGAATGGCCAAATACAGAGAGTTTGCCAGCCCTGATTAAATGGGCAGGTACAAATAAAGGGTCTAATGGGAGGTTTAATCCATAGCTGTACCTGAGAGAAGTTTTTTGTAAGGAGCTGCAAAACCCATAATAAATGGGTATTCTGTGAGGGCCAAGATTTGCTGCCTCATGAAATACATGGCAAGCCCAACCTGAAAGTCCAAACCAACCTGAAGAATGTGAACAAGGATGGGAGTCACCATGTAGCCTCTATGTCCTGGAACATATAAAGGAAGAGATTCCACACTCTTCAAAAGGACATCATACCTGGGTTAGGCCACTTGCAAACTGATTTAAATTTCCTGCAAAGCAATGGGTTTGGAGTGCCACCAGATTTCTTTGTGTGTCCAGTAAAATAGCAGAAGGGTCTCCAGGAACACTTGGTTTGCTGATTCAAGTAAACTACAACAATGAAGTTGTCTGTCCAGACTAGGAGATCTTTCCTGGCAGAATTCCCCAGAGGGGAAACGAAGACTTCAGTAAGCTCTAATCTTTTAAACATTTAATGGAGCTGGACTCTAAGTGAGACCACTTCCATTAGACCAACTTATTCTTTTGTTATTTTACTAGCATCTAAAGACCCCAAAATAAGACTACCATCCTCCATCCTGCCCTCCCCCCAGCCACATGTTCCTAACTGGAAAGATTCACATCTCTGGTCAAAACCACTCACCAGAATTTGCCTAGGCAAGTTCCCTTTAGGGAGAGAGGAGCATTAAATTCTGACCTTAAGATGACTACTTATTAATTAGTTTGGGTCTAAGTATGATTGACTGCAGCTGTTCCTGATTTAATCTTGAGAGTCCAGAAGTGGAAGTGAGGCTGAAGTATCACTTCAAGACAGGGTCCAACTAGCTGCATCTATTCCCAGGAGAAGCAGATAGTATTGCAGATTTGAACCCAGGTAGTTTGCTTGACTTTCCTCTAACAGGATGATTCTATCAAGATGTGTCCAGATATTGCATCTGGAGGCAGGCTAACCTTTACAATAAAAGCAGGAAAATATTTATTCTTTACTGAAATGTCCTGGTCTAGACAAAAATCTATGTAGATATGAACTGCTAGTCTATGCTTCCACAGGTGTGCTGTCATTACAACCAATGGCTTGTCAAAGACTTAAGGCACACAGGACAGACTGATGTGGAGAGCAAAATACCAGATTAACTCTTCTGAAGTAAAAATGAAAGTACCCATTACTTCTTGGAACTAATGGAATATACAGCTAGACATTCTGCATGTCAACAAAAGTCAGAGCATTTTTTAGGGCTATGGTTAGGATCACTGACTGGGTGGGATTCCATCTTGAACCATATATGAGGTTCAGAATATGCCACTCTTCCTTGGAGTCATTGCTCACAATGAAATAAACAGAATAACCCAGCATTGCTTATTTGAGTGCATGAGTCTTGGAACCTATAGCCAGAAAGTGCTGAAAAGTCTTTAGAACCACTGTCTCTCTTGCCAGCAGGAGTGAAAAAGTATAACAAAGTAACAGACGCTGAGAAGGGATACCCAGGTAATCCACAAAGAAGATGGCTCTCTTAACCACTTGTGACGTTTGTTCATATGTGCTTTAAATAAAAAGAGTGACTCCTAATCTGTAGACTTTTCAGGTTCTCCATACAGTCATAGGTCTTGGAGAAATGGGAACTGGGTTTCCTGTCCCTACCTCTTGGTGTCATGCCTCTTCTGCTACAGGATTAATAATTTTATCTTCTGATCTGTTTATAGAAAACAGTGCACAATCTGAAGTTACGTCAGAGATGGAACCTTGAGGATTTTCTTAAGAAAGCAGAGTTCTCACTCTTGTTTAGTCCTTAAGAACCCGATTAAAAAGCTCCCCAGAAAGTCTATCCCTGAAGAATGACAGAAAGAACGAAAGAAAGACAGAAAGAAAGCCATAATACTATATTTAGCAGACTTGTTCCCTCCTTCTCTAGGACTTTAGCTAGAAGGCTCAGGAAGCCAGTATGAGGACACCAACAGCTATGATGGGAAAATTGATGGAATCCTCTTACGTATCAGAGTTATTTAGAAGATACCAAGACTTGCAGGACATGATTCGAAGAACTCTGAAGGGAGGGTTCATCTGGAAGAGTATTAAGTTCAGTAAGATATACAAACCAGGACTCTAGCTAAGCAGAAGGAATGACTATAGAGCCAGATGTGGATAGGAAAAATAAAAAAAAATACATCTCTTAGGTTTTGCAAGAAATCTTTCAGGATAGGAAAAGAATTACTTCCTGAACAATAAACAAATGCTAAATCAACTTTGGGAACAATGGCCCAGAATTAAGCTTTGTCTGTTGAGAGCTTATACTGCTGGCAAGTATTAGCAAGATAAAGTGAATATTGGGACAGAACAGGTATAAATCAATGTTTTCACCATTGGATGAAGTGGGATACTGTTATCCAGCTCACTTTCCTCAAAGTTAATAAGGAGGATATTCCTTTGGTAGGAGGATAAGATGCAGCAATTCTGTACTATTCCTACAGAGAACAGATTAGTCTTCTAAAGTAAATTAGGGGGTCTGAACTGGGACCTCTTTATAAAGCAGTCACATTTCATCATGAGATATCTGGGTCATTTATATCCAAGCCCATTAGAATTAGAGGGATAAGAGTTAGAGCACAGGGAGTGGGTACTTACAGCACCGTGTTTCTAGATATGGTCTGACGATATGGCTTTTAACAACTAAAGCCACATTATAGGTGGGAGCTGTAGGTTTATGACTGAAGAGAGGAAGTCTTAACCATGGCCTCTTTCCCCACCCCACACACATTTTAACTGCAACTGGCTTCTTGCACTTTACAGAAACAGGGGCAGGCACATTCTTCTGGGATCTGACAGCTACAAAATCATTTGCAAATCAGACAGAAAGCTCAAGGAATAAGGCTAAGATCACCCAAGATAGCAACACTGTTAGCATAATTGCATGTTACCTGGCCTAAAGCCCTTGAGGAAGAATGAACTGTCTGTCAGATGAAGCACTGATGAGAATTTTATTCCCATTTAGACACCTCTCCAGAGGATAGTTCAAAAATCCAGCATTGAGAGCAGAAAGACTCAGAATCCAGACTGCAGTTCCCAAGGGGAACAACTGTTTTCCTCTTTGCCGCCTCCATTTTATGTTAGTATTAACCCCCACCACACACACACACACTCCCACAAAGACCTAGATAACTGGGAAAACTGAACTAAGGAAGGATATGAAACCAAGAGAAGGAATTCAGTCACCTGTGCTCATCTCTGAGTGAGGCAAGGATGATTGGGTTATTGAGATGGACATCTGAATTGGCATCCCAAAACCTTACAATTTCAGTAGTCACTCATGCCGGTTCAGCATGACAAACAGAAACCCATTAAGTTGCGGACCGAGTCACTCACTCAATCAGTTTAAGATAGGTCAAAATTTCTATTTTAAATTACTGGACTTGACAATATTGCTTTAAATCATGAATTCCATTTTCTGCCTCACTGCAATTTACATTGAAAGCTAGACATGGACAGTTTTTTCTACCATTAGTTTTCAAATAGGTTTTGTAAGAGTACATATGCTCAAATGTAACCTTAAATCTTGTACTATGCATTTTTTTAAAACTTCAGCCCTTCTTTGAAAAAATCTGTTTCATACAATAAAGGCTGCAATATTGATCAAACATACACCTGATGGACACAACAACAAATCAAGGCCACTGTTCTTCTGCATACTGACTGTGTGATCAAGAGTATGCTGTGCTCCATTCCGCTTTTTAAAGTACCTGGAAATCATGGGCTATGTATATTTCAGTATTTCTTTTCTCACAGAAGTGCAGCTGTCAGGGAGTGCCCAACAGGGCTACATATGTCCAATATCTGGCATACCAACCTTGTGCCAGCTGCTTATTTTCCTACTTGAAACACTATCACACTTTTTTTTAAAGCAACTTTCACTGGTTAGCTTAGAGAGTCACTAATTTTAAATGGCTAATAGTTATAAAGATAATAATGCTTAGCATTTATATAATGGTTTACATTGTTGAACTGCTATATAAAATATTAACTAATTCATACATTGCATTTACTAAAATGGATTCTTACTTCTCTGGTTTTAGGTCCCTGTATATTATTCCAAGACTATGTAGGTGGTCTAAAGCAAGTGCTAATTCAGCCAAGTAGAATTTGACATCTTCTTCTGTGAACATCACCTGAAAAAGCAAAATAAGAGATTTTTAAAAAATCCTCCATGCTAAGGGAAAACCACAAAAAGCATCAACTGAATGAGCCATTTGTATATATGCACTGTTCTTGTAGCCATGTTGGTCCCAGGATATTAGAGAGACAAAGTGTGTGAGATAACATCTTTCATTGGACCAACTTCTGTTGGTGAGAGAGGAGCTTTTGAGCTTATACACAGCTCTGTGACCTGAAGAAAAGCTCTGTGTAAGCTTGAAAGTTGGTCTCTCTTACCAACACAAGTTGGTCTAATTAAAGATATTACCTCACCTACCTTGTGTCTCTGTCTCCCATATAAACAATCACATCTCTTAAGGGCTAGGGCTGTCTTTTCTACATTGCTGGCATGTGTATGTGGAGTGGATGTGAACTCTTGGATCTGTGTACTCTTATTTTTTCCACATTTCTAAAAGCTTGTGCTGTGAACTACAGCTGGTCAGCTAACAGAGAAACTGATCTGTCAAACAAATTATTCATTGAAAAATGGCAAACTTTTAAAATAGTTAATGCAATAAATAGTATGTGACTAACTCTGATAGGTGCTCTCCAAATTACATGCCCACACATTATGTAATGGAGCAGAAGGCAGGTGCAATGTGTATTCCTTCCCTACACTACTGGCATCATAACTGTGCGCTCAGTCTCTACTGGCCCTAGGAGGAGGAGGAATTACAAAGTCCACTTTTGAGCTCTGCCTCCCAGCCATTAACCTAAAAGCAATAGGCCATGGGTTTACATGGATGACTGAGAGCAGTGTTCTGAAGAATTAAAGGACATGGTGTTTAAAAAAGTCTAATAATGGTCCAGTCCAACTCCCCCTGATGTCAATGGAGTCTTTCTTTTGACTTTAATGAGAGTTGAGCCACATCCCAAGGCCACGATTCAACACACTAGTTAAACACATGGCTAGCTTTAAGCATGCGACTAATCCAATGACAACTGTGGAACTACTCTTGCTCAAAGTTAAGCACGTGCTTAAGTAACTTGCTGATTCAGGGCCTTCATAAATATCTTCTGTAGAGGGCACAATAGAAACTGGATTATATAAAATGCTGACCTCTCTCCTGTGTTAACCCAGAATGCTTTCAGCAGCAAACCATTCTCAAAATGCGTAGGATAATCATGTCTAGTGCGAGGAGGGAGAGAAGACTGGAGTTTGGAGGTGTGTTGCTGACAATTGAAAGACCAGAGAACAGGAGAAAGGGAGACCCAGAGACAGCCCCCAGCATGAGCAGAAGTACCCCCAGAGAAGGAGGGGAGATTGATCCAATAGAATCAGGCCAGATAGGCCCACACGCAAGTGTTTTGAGCAGGACCAAGCCTATGACCCGCTTTATGCAAACGTGAGCGAGGAGGTAGTAGAGGTAAATGGCGTGCCAGTAGAAGGGAAAAACAAAGGCCCAGGGCCATACTATATAATCAAACAGGGTCTGTTGTATGGGGTAATGCCAATACGGGGCAAAGTAGAACAACTCCTCTTGGTGCCATGAAAGCACACAAGGGCCATATTAGAGTTACCTCTCAGTCATTTGTTTGGGGGCAGATCTAGGAGCAGATAAGACCCTGGATAGAGAGTCCTAAGGAGGTTCTACTGGTCAGGGGTATGGGCAGAAGTCCAGCGCTATTGCACCTCCTGCCCAGAGTGCAAGCTGCATAGCCCTCGACCTCAGTTAAGGGCCCCATTGGTACCCCTGCCTGTAATTTAAGTCCCTTTTGAAAGGACAGCCATGGATCTAGGGGGCCAACTAGAAAGATCGGTCCGGGGCCACTGAAGCATACTCGTCATCCCGGACTATGCTACACGGTACCCAGAAGCCATTCCTCTAAGAAACCCCACGTCCAAGGCCATGGCAAAATAACTGATCCAGGTTTTTGCTAGGGTAGGAATCCCTAAGGAGATCCTGACAGATCAAGGGACTCCCTTCATGTCGAGAGTGATGAAAGACTTATGTACCCTGCTCTGCATCCAAGCCTTGTGGACTTCGGTCTATCATCCCCAAACAGATCGTCTGGTCGAGCGATTTAATCACACTCTCAAAAGCATGATCCAAAAGGTGGTGGCCCATGATGGAAAAGACTGGGATACCCTCCTACAGTCCCTGATGTTTGCGATACAAGAAGTTCCCCAGACATCTACTGGATTCTCTCCTTTTGAGCTACTGTACGGACGCCACTCACGTGGCATATTAGACATCACAAAGGAGGAATGGGAGGAACAACCCAACCCAGGGAAGAAAACTTCATCGCACATGTGGTCCAGATGAGAGAACAAATAGCCCAAGTGACCCCCATAGTACGAAAGCATTTGGAGAAAGCACAAGAGGTCCAGCGAACCTACTACAACTGTTGGGCAAAATCATGGAAATTTCAACCAGGAGAACGGGTGCTGGTGCACACAACAGAAAGCAAGCTCCTGGCCAGCTGGCGTGGACCACATGAGATCATGGAAGCTGTTGGGGAGGTGAATTATAAGGTGAAGCAGCCAGATTGCCAAAGGCCTGAGCAGATCTACCATGTCAGTTTACTGAAACCCTGGCTCAATCAGGAGTCGTGCCTGGCTGTCCTGCCGGCTCCACCCCAGGCAGATGGCCCACGAAAGGATATTCCCCAAATTAGCCCCAAAACCAAAGCACGTCATCGAGATGATCCAGCGGAATGTGTTCTCCACACAACCAGGCAGTACAACGCTGATCCAACACCACATCATCACCTGTCCTGGAGCAAGGGTGACGATAAAACCATATCGCATACCAGAGGCAAAAAGAAAAGAAATTAGGGCGGAAGTAAGGAAGATGCTGAACTTGGGGTTACTGAGGAATCCCACAGCCAGTGGTCCAGCCGAACTGTCTTGGTCCCCAAGCCTGACACCACCCTCAGGTTTTGTAATGACTTCTGGAAGTTAAAACCAGGTATCCCAATTTGATGCCTACCCAATACCACGTATTGATGAGCTGGTGGATCAGTTAGGCAAGGCCCGATACTTGACCATCTTGGACTTAACAAAAGGCTATTGAGAACGCCAAGGAAAAAACCCGCCTTCTCTTCATCCGATGGCCTCTTCCAATAGACCATCCTCCCTTTTGGGCTCCATAGAGCCCCCCGCAACTTTACAACAACTGATGGACAGATTACTTTGACCCCATGCCAAGTATGCTGCTGCCTATTTGGACGATGTGGTAATCCATAGCCCTGACTGGGAGATGCACCTGGGGAAGTGGAAGCAGTACTAGATGCTCTTAGACAGGCTGGCCTCACTGCTAACCCATCCAAATGCGCAATAGGGCTAGCCAAGGCCAGATACCTCAGGTAGTCAGAAGGGGCCTGGTGAAACCCCAATGGAACAAAGTGGAGGCAACACAGGAATTGCCCCCCTGATCCGCAAGAAACAAGTCAGAGCGTTTTTAGGGATAGTGGGGTACTATTGCTGGTTCATCCCTCATTTCACCACGAGGGCAGCACCTCTGACAGACCTGATAAGAGCTTGGGGCCTGGAGATACTTAAGTGGACCTGAGGTCGGCCCTTCGCAGTCATCTAGAGCTCAGCACCCCAGATTTCAAGAAGGAATTCATCCTACAGGCACCTCGGAGGTAGGACTTGGGGCTCTCCTTTCACAGATGGTAGGGGATGAGGAGCACTTTACCTCAGCTGGAAGCTCCTACCCAGGGAGCAACGGTATGCCGTAGTAGAAAAGGAATGCCTAGCAGTGAAATGGGCCATAGACATTTTACGGAACTACCTACTTGGGTGGCGGTTCACCCTTATGATGGGCCACACCCGACTCCAATGGATGCACACAACCAAAGAGGTGGTGGGGGTTGAAAAAGGGAATATGTGATACAGCAGGGTGTGAGGCTTTGGAAAGAAAGTTTATAGGTTGATTGAAATGAAAATTGGATACCACCTTTGATAGAAACTTGGGGTGCAGAGGCAGGGAAACTTGGTCTTTAGGGAACATGGTAAAAGAGGGGTCAGTCATTAGGGCCCCCAATTCTCCTACCCTTCTCACGGAAGTAACAGCTACCAAGAAAGTGACCTTCCTGGAAAGGACAGGGAACATAAAGCCAGAGATTCCAAGGACGATTTCATTAATGTCAAGAGGACGTGGTTGAGGTCCCATTGGTGAGTGATAAGTTGAATGGGTGGGTAAGTTCTGAAGAGGCCTTTCCAAAACCTGGTAGTCAATGGGAGAGTAAACACAGAACATCCTTCCACAGAGGGGTGAACCTTCATGGAATTGAGCGCAAGGCCTGATGTCTTAAGGGACAGAAACTAGGCTAACAGAAGGGGAACGTATGTCCTCTGGAGCGAGACCCCTCTGCCTGGCCCAGAAGGTGAAACGCTTCTACTTGGCCTGATAGGAGCACCTCGTGGAATCTTTTCTGCTACTTGAGAGGATGTCTTGTACTACTGACAAACAATCCCAATCTAGTGAAAATGTCCATACAAAAACCAAACTCGGGAGGTGAAGTGTTTGCGTACGGGGATGCCTGATCCTGCTGCAATGTTGCATGAGCACTTCTGGGAAAGCTAGCAGCAGAAGTGGGGGATTCACTGACATGCAGAGAAGTGGGGAAACCAGAACTGGCAAGGCCAGAATGGGGTTATCAGAATAACCATGACACTTTCCTACTGGATCTTGTGGAGGACACGCGCCACCAGTGGTAGTGGGGGAAAGGTGTAACTGATCTGGTCTGATCAGCGGGTTACAAGGGACCCCTTCTGGAGCAGTATGTGATGCATTTGCTGTTGCTGTAGGTGGCAAACAGATCCCTGATTGGAGTCCCTTGTAGGTTGAAAAAGTCACTGGCTATGGTGTGGTGTTCCCATTCGTTGTTGGTCATGAATTTCCTGCTGAAAGAATCTGCAAACACATTTTGAGACCCTGGAAGACAGGCTGCCAACAACAGGATCCTTGTGGGCACTGCACCAGTCCCACACCTGGAGCACTTCTACATGAAGTGTCGATGACTG